AAAAAAAAAAAAAAAAAAAAAAGAGGACCAAAGATGTGTTACTGGCACAAACCCAGAGGTACTGAAAACACTGAGAAGATTCAAGGACCAGATCTTGATGTCCAGCCTTGGTTATGGGGCAAACAAGAAAGCAAAGCTCATGCCACCAAGTGGCTTCTGGAAGTTCCTGATCTGCAATGGCAAGAGCTGGAAGTGCTGCTGATGTGCAGCAAACCTTACTGTACTGAGATTGCTCACAATGTTTCCTCCAAGAACCACAAAGCATCATGGGAAGAGCAGCCCAGCTGGCTGTCAGTCACCAATCCTGACTTCAGACTGTGCAGTGAAGAAAATGAATAGAGAGTTCATGTGCACTTTGTGTGTGTGTGTGTGTGTGTGCACATGTGTGTGTGCACATGTGCATGCTTAGATAAAACCACAATAACTCCCATCTGGCATTTTCAAAATACGTATATTCATATATACCTATATCTCAAATTTATATATCCAGTCCCAACTTCTCGCCTGACCTATAAACTGAAAAATCCAGTGCTCATTTGATATTCCAATAAATAACTAATAGATTCTCCAAATATACTGTGTCCAAAAACTAACTCATAGCTTCATATCCCCACGCTGAGCCTGCTCTTATTACATTTTCCCCATTTTGTAAATGGCAAATTCATTCTGCCAAATGCTGAGGCTGAAAATCTTACGCTTACCCTTAACATCTCTCTTTTTCTCTTATACCCTATGTATTAGTTTTCCACAACTAAATGAAATACCTGAGGCTGGTTAACTTGATAAAGAACAAAAGGTTTATTTAGTTCACAGTTATGGAGGTTCAAGGGCTCAGCTCCGGAATAAACTTGGCTCTGGTGAAGACCTTATAGGAATGACATCACAATGTCAGGAGTGCATATGAGAAGAGGTCACATTGCAAGACACAAGCCAGAACACAGGGAGGGGTCAGTAACAACTGAGCTCTCTGAAAACTAACTCAGGGTTCCATGAGAATGATGTTAATCTCTTCTAAGAGCAGTACCCCCATTTGCTTAAACACCTCCCACTAGGATCCACTTCTTAAAGGTTCCATTTCCCCCACACTGGAGACCAAGTTTCCACTATGTGAACCCTTAGAAACATATTCAAACCATATTCAAATAATTACATCCTACATTTAAGACTTCAGCAAATTATCTTAGAATTGAACCTTGTAGCATATTTAATATGTGTGTCTCTTTACTCAATAAAAATTTACTGCTGGAGCTGGGGATATAGCTCCATTGGTAGAGTGCCTGCCTCACATGCATAAGGCCTTGGGTTCAATCCCTAACATAAAAAATATATAAATATTTATTTATTTATTTATTCATTCATTCATTCATTCATTCCTGGGATGGATGGATGAGCAGAGGGTACAATCTGTTATATGTAAAGATGACAGGAGCACAATGTAGGAAAAATAAAAACTTGACAATTTCCTTGGTGGATTTAAGTATGATTGAAACAGAGGTATATGGGGGTGGGGATGGTAAGAAATCAAGTCAGGAAGGTAGGCTCTGTCCATGTTATTTTAAGAATGAGAATAACATGATTGGACTTATGTTTTAGAAATTCCTTCTGGGAGCTCATGGAGATTGAAGAGGAGCCTATTTGGTTAACTGGGTTAAGAACTGAGGAAGGCCTGAGCTAAGGCACTGGCTGAGGAGTAGAATTGACAGATGTCCTCCATAAAAATACCAGGCACCATCCCAAGCCTTTTGGGAGAGATGCAAGCAGGCAGAGGTGGTTTTGAAAAATATCTTAATTTAAACAATATCTTTTTTAAAATTTAAACAATATCTTATGTATCCAAAAGTCCACTCATTTTGTGCAACTTTTCTGCCTCCTTAGTCTTCTTTTTAAGAAACATGATTTTTTCATTATAGCAATTTGCAAAAATGTTAGAGAGAAGCATGGGCAAGGCTTTAAAAATGGTTCTGGTGTAAGATCAGAAGCTCTAACAAGAGACTCCCAAAGTCAATACCAGATAGCGAGCAATCCTGCCCTATGACTAACCAAGGAGATGGTTCGTAAGAGTGGCTTAGGGGTAAATGCTGAGGGTTTTGGTTTTGTTTGTTGTTTGTTTGTGAATGTGTTTGTTTTTGTGCTGCTGGGGACAGAACCCAGGGCCTCACGCCTGCTAGGCATGGGCTCTACCACTGAGCCACACCTACAGCCCCAAGCTCTGAGTCTCTAGGGTGCTAGAGCAGTGAAGTTCACCCACAGCCCCGTGTGTTTCCCCTCCCCCCAAAGGTAGGAATTTCTCCTACGGAAAAGCAGCTTCCTGTACTTCCCTCATTCTCCCAGCAGGTCTGGGAGAGAGTTCTAACATCTATTAGATTCAGACTTGATCCCTGGGGAGGCCCTAGGAGGAAGGGCTTGCTCACGTGATCCCACAATGAGAAACCAGAGATCAGCACTGAGCAGGTGCAAAGCTGTCCCAAGCCCAGTTCTTTCTTCTCTGGGAAGAAGTGACCCATCCTTCCTCCCTTTGGGGTTTTGGACCTCTAGCTCCTAAATTTCTTAAGATGTATGTGAGGGCTAAGGAATTATGGGATGACTGGTCATTCTCTCAGAAGCAAAGGATGGCTAGGGAACATTAGATCACAGCAGGGGGACCTTCCTGAGCTTACAGTCCTGTTGTGTTTGGGGTTCTGATGGGAAATCTTTAAAAACATTGCCAGAGAAGAAGTGCTGGAAAGAGCAGCCTCCAGCGGAATTGTGCAGTGAGTCTGTATTTATTTTCTATTGTGTGTAATAAAGCACCACACATGTGGCAGCTCAGAAGAACACAAATTTATTAACCTTGCGGTTTCCTTGTGTCAGGAGCCCAGGTGTGGGTTAGCTGGATCTTCTGCTCCAAGGTCTCGACAGAATGCAGTCAAGATGTTGGGTAAGGCTATGGTCTCACCCAAGGCTCAAGATCTTTTTCTAAGCTCCTGTGGCTTCTGGCAGAACCTATCCCTAACTTTGTACAACTCATGGTAGCTATCTTCCTGGAAGCCAGCAAGAGTCTGTCTCTGACTTCTTCAGTCTTTGACCTCTCAGCTGTCTTTTAAATGGCTGGCCTGATTAGGCTCAACCAGAATCATCTCTCTCTTTACTAAGTCAATTGACTAGGGACCTTAATTACATCTTAAAAATCCCTTCTTTATGCCATATAACAACATAACTGCAGGAGAAGATTCTTGGAACATTCATTATATTCTATGAGCTAGAAGTAATTTATAGGTCCACCCACATTCAGTGGGAAAGGAGTATATAGATCATGGGCCATTGGGATTCATCTCAGGCAGGTTTCTGCCTGCCATAGAGTCCAAGAGCTTCTGGAGAGAACAGTCCTTCCTTGAAAAGTGATCGCAGTGGATGATCATTTTTTGAGATCAAAAATCTCACTTAAAGGGCTCACAGACGTCTCACGGGAGTAAGTTAGATGGTGCCACCCCAAATAGATAGGCCTACCTAAAATCTCAGAATGTGACCTTATATTAAAGAATGGTTGGGCTGGAGTTGTGGCTCAGTGGTAGAGCACTTGCCTGGCCTGTGTGAGGCACTGGGTTCGATTCTCAGCACCACATACAAATAAATGAATAAAATAAAGGTCCGTCAACAATTAAAAAAAAAGAAAAAAAGAATGGTCTTTGTAAATGTAGTTAAGGGAAGAGTTTTGAGATGAGATCATCCTGAATTAGGATGGGTCCCAAGTCTACTAACATGTATCTTTATAAAAGACAGAAAGGAGAAGACACAAGAACATAGGGATGTGGAGTGATATGTCTATAAGCCAGGACTGCCAAGGAGTGCTCAAGTCCCCAGAAGCAAGGAGAGAGGCACGGGAGAGATTCTCCCTCAGAGTCTTCAGAAGGACCCAGCCCTGCCCACATCTTGATTCCTGACTGCTGGCCTCCAAAGCTATGGGGGAATTCATTTCTGTCATTTTAATCCAGCAAGATTAAGGTGATCTGTTTTGGCAGCCTTGGGAAACTGATAAACTCACTGATAATTATCCCCGTAGGGATCAGCGCCAAGGAAACAGACTTGGTGGCATTAGGTCCAACAAGAACTTACACTCTACAAAGATGCCAGTTCCCATAGATCAGAGATGCCCTAAGAGGTCCTAGCACAGGCAGTTTTATGGTTAGACTAACAACAAGGTACACTCATCACAGAACCTGGGGGGATGTCCATGTACCTCTCAGAAGAAGGAATAGCCTACTTTACCATTCCCTCACTGATGCATCTGTTTGGGTCAGCTACTGAATATAAATAAATAAGGCTAAAACAACTGGGACCTGAACAAGTTTTCTTTAAGGATCTTACACACAAGCAGTGCAGGAACTAAAATAGGGGCTCCACACTCCTGGACACCCAGGCTCCTTCCATCTAGTTCTTCTGTCATCTACAACACATGGTTGCCATCTCACGACCATCTCACCATCACACCTGCCTTCCAGCCAGAGGTAAGGTGAGCAAAGGTCATGGAGGACATACCCTTTCCCTTTAATCGCAGGTTTGGAAATCGCATACTTCCATTGGCTAGAACTTGGTCACCTAGCCACAGCTCTCTACAAGTGAGGCTGCAAAGCATTCTTAGCTTCAAGGCCATGTTTCCTGATAAAGCTTAGGGTTACCATTACTAAAGGAAGAAGGGAGGAATGGAGAAAGGATAGCAGCATCTGCTCACAGGATGCTACAATATTAAAGGTCTGACTTCCATCAGTGACTTCTCAAAGCAGAACCCAGGAGGTGGGCAAAAAGGCCCAGAAATTAAATCTAGGCATGGATGGCACCCCCACTACCCTTCTAGATGATGATAGGATCGAGCTTCAGAAGACCAACTGGGCAGAGGAAGGAGATCAAGAGGGAGGGAGAAAGGAAGAGATGGGGAATGACTGAGGAATGAAATGTACCAAATTATGCTCTCTATGTATGAATATATCACAATGAACAATAAATATATTTATCTACACATGTGGTATATAATTTCTATACATAATATAATTCATTATATAAATTAATATATTAAATGCACTAATCAAAATAAAAATAATAGAAGGGAAGTCAGCAGAGTAGAGCAAACAGATCAGGGGAGGGAGTGAGGAAGGAAAGGGAAGGGACAGGGAATGAGATTGATCAAATTTTGTCACATGCATGTGTGAATATGGCATAATGAATCCCACTATTATTATGTATAATTATAACACATCAATAAAAAAAAACAAAGGCTTCAAAATATGGGTTTGAAGCATCAGGTATAGGATGAGGATAGAAAGGCCAGGAAAAACAGGGATCCCCCTTCCCTATCACATTCTCTGTTGGTGATTGAATTGTGTCCTCCTGAAAAACATGTTGAAATCTTAACCCTAAAACTTATGACTGTCTCCTTATTTGGAAAAGGGATCTTTGCAGATGTAATCAAATTAAAATGAGGTTAAACTTGGGGCTGGGGTTGTGGCTCAGCAATAGAGTGCTCGCCTGGCACGTGCAAGGCTCTGGGTTCAATCCTCAGCATCATAAAAATAAACAGATAACATAAAGATATTGTGTCCAACTACAACTAAAAAACATATTTTTTTTAAAATGAGGTCATATTGCATTAGATTGGGCTCTGACCCAATGACTGATGTCCTTATAAAAGAAATTTGGACACAGATACGTGAAGAAGGTCATGTGAAGACAGAGGCAGAAGTTCCAGTGACATATCTACAAGCCAAATAATACCAAGGGTGGCTGGCAACTACCAGAAGCTAGAGAGGCAAGGAAGGTTTCCACTTAGAGCTTTCAGAAGGACCGTGCCCTGCCAGTCTCCAGCACTGTGAAAGAATAAATGTTTATTCCCAAGGATAGTTCCCAAGGGAAAAAACCTAAATTTGTTATCAGCAGCCTCTCAAATTTGTATACCTTCTCTCTCCTTTCTGCTTCCTTGGAGCCCAAACTCATGAACCCCTACTAAAGCAGACTATAAGATCTCTTTTTCCCCAGGGATTGAACCCAAGGATGCTTAACCACTGAGCCACATCCCCAGACCTTTTAATTTTTTTTATTTTGAGACAGGATCTCACTAAGTTGCTTAGGGCCTTGCTAATATTGCTGAGGCTGGCACCAAACCTGCAATCCTCCTGCCTCAGCCTCCAGTGCCACTGAGATTTTAAGTGTGTGCTGCCACACTGGCTGGACCATAAAATTCTGACATCTAGCAGTGAGTGCCCTCTACTCTCAACTTTCTCCCCATCCTTGAAATGTATCTCATTGTCAATGCTGCATTGGCGATGGTGGGATGATCCAAATCAGGGTCAAAATACTAGGCTCAGGCCAGTCCAGAGTTTGAACATGGAAACAGAGCCAAGGGTGTGAATGTTTAGCGATAGGGTTATGAAACCAAGGATATGAGTTCTCACCCACGTCCCACACAAATGAAAGAATTGAGGTTCCTCTTCGTGGAGTGGCTGGCTACAAAATAAAGGCTAAGTAAGACAAGGTGGCAAAGGGCTGGGATTGTGGCTCAGTGGTAGAACACTCACCTAGCATGTGCGGGGTCCTGGGTTCAATCCTCAGCACCACATAAAAATAAATAAATGGGATAAAGGTACTATGTCCAACTAAAACTAAAAAAAAATAAATAAATATTAAAGAAAAAAAAAGACAAGGCTGCAAAAAAAGCCACAGGACAGAAAGTAGTTTTTAAAAAGCTGGGGTGGGATAGCTAGCCAATCTTAGGGATCGAGCTTCCACACTAGAAAGAGAGGAATGGCGCCCACGCTTGCTTTTTTTTTACAAGGGGGAGCATCAAAGGTTTTTCATGGAATGTTCTTTGCCAAATAAGGTAGGAGATGAACTGTCCAGTTCCCAATGGGTTTCACCCAACTCTGGAGCTACAAGACTTGTCTCCCTAGTAGATCGAGGACAAGAGATCTCATGCCTTGGGTGATCTGATGCACATGGGAAAGCCAGGATAGTTCCCAAGGAAAAAAAAAAAAAACCTAAATCTTCATGGCTCAGTACCACTCAAATAGCTCACGGGTGGCTCCCCACAATGAGTCTGAGGTGGGAAAGAAATACCAGGCAAGGCATGCCCACAGTGAGCAAAAATGTGTGGATCAAGATCCAGGATGCTACTATGAATAGAACTCTACCTGTAGGCCAAAACCAGGAGATCTGGGACTCCTACCTCCAAACTTTAATTCCACCACTTTGTTCTGGGGGAACCCTTTCAATTTCCGAATAATCTGCACATACAAAATTTCATTTGGTCTTCAAAATCAGTCTGCATGAGCCAAGTAGAGCAATAATATCTCCATTCGAGCCATGCACACTGATTGCACATCTGTAATCTCAGTGACCTGGGAGGCTGAGACAGGAGGATTGTAAATTTTTTTAAAACATCAGAAATTTATTAGTTGCTCAAAACATTACAATGATCTTGACATATCATATATCATACATTTGATTCAAATGGGGTATGAATTCTTATTATTCCCATGAGGATTGTAAATTTGAGGTCATTTTCAGAAACTTAGTGAGGCCCTAAGCAACTTAGTCAGACCCTATCTCAAAATAAAAAATAAAAAGGGCCGGGGATGTAGCTCGGTAGTAGAGTACCCTGGATTCAATCCCCAGTACAAAACAACAACAACAAAAATTTCCATTTCTCCATTTGATTTACTGGCAACCAAATGGTCAGAGAAGCTAAGTAACTTGTTCACTGTCCCATAACTGGATTATTAGAGAAAATAAAATGAATTTTGGTTAAAATTAGCACCAGCAAACTATTTGATTTCTATGCGGCTCTATTTTTTTTATCATTATTAAATAAATGATATTTTCAGAGCACCTCTGTGTTGGGCATACAACAGATGCTCACTAAATGGCCGTTTCTTTCCTTCCTCCGTTTATTATTTGGTTTTGCAGCTCTGAATTCTGTGCTCCTCACACTAATTCAGTGTTGCCTTCCACTGGCTAAAGGAATGTTGGCTACTAAATTCATCCCTCTAGAACTCAGATTCTTCATCCATTTTTATCAAGTGGATTACCAGAAGACTGGACTAAATTATTTCTATGCTGTCTTCCAGCTCTGTTAGTTTGCAGCCTTATGAAAACAGCAATTCTGGCTGCCAGTCTAGTTAACAGACCAGCTTTGCAAAGTCCTCACCTGTTATACTTCATATCACCATCAGGGGGCGCCCACGACCACTTATGCCTGGGATGAAGTCAATGCTAAGGCTGTGAAGCTCTTGCCCAGGCCTTCACAGAGCTGGAAGGACTATCTTCCTAAAGACAAGAGAGGAGAGAAAGTTTTAGTCTCTATTGGGAGAAGCTATTAAGATTTCAGGAATGAAGCTGGTGTATAATTACAGCCCAGTGATTGCCTATGGTGGGCTACACTTACCACCATCTCTTAGAAGAATCTACCATGGGGGAGTCCTGGGAAAGTTTGCTGCCAACCTCCTCCTTGCTCTAACTCTCGTTCCACCTAGTAGGTCACCTCTGGAAAACCCACTTGCTTCTCACTCACTCTCCAACTCAATCCCCTTTTGCTGTCATTTCCATCCCATGCCCAGCTCCTGCTAACAGACTTCTGGAAGGACCAGTGGCTCCACAGGCTCTTCAGTTTTCATTGGTCTGTAATCTTCACATCTCTAGGTTCACAGCCATGGTTGTTCATCTTCACAGTTCAAATGCACAGGCTTCCTGCTAGCAAAAGCAGCCTGCTCTCCGCCCAAGGATGTAAATCTCCCTCAGTTTGACACCTGGCCACAAGTTGCTAGAGAAATGACCAGAGAGGCTGCCTCTCCAGCTGTCAAATACACTGGTGACAATCTGCAGATGGAATCCACAGCCCAGTACAAGTCTAAACACTCCAAAGGAGGCTGACAGTTGGCACCCGGGTGCATATCGAGCAAGACACAAGCAGTATGAGCTCTGGATGCTATTCAAGGATGATTCTATAAACCAGAGTCCCCTCCTCCAAATCATCCTCTCCCTGCCTAGGACTGACTGGGCGATTTTCCTCAGTGATGTCAGGAAAATATTCAGAGATGGGTAGAGGAGGCCCTCTTATTTATCCCAGACTTGAGCAAGACTTCCTTCTCCACTAAGAGACAGTTCAAGAGTTGAGTCCTTTCCAAGAAACCTTAGATACCTCAGACACCAGAGATTGCACACTGCTCTGCATTGGAAAGGAGAAAGTCATCTTTGGTATGCAAACATCCTGAGAAATAAAACCTGGGCTCCAGAAGAAAAGAGAACAGCATAGACCGGGTCCAATTCACAGAGAACACCCATATGTAGAAATACACTAAGCTTATCCTGAGGGCAGATCTAAGTTTTATAACTCTAGGGCCCTTGAACCTAGCCAATGCACTGTATACCATGTCACAAGCATGCTAAACATTTAGTGATTTACTGAGTATCCTGTAAATCAGCCCAGACCATGGTTTATGGAGTCTAAATAAGAGCCCACAAAATGAGCAAGAGATTTCCATAGAATTTTTCTTTCCATAGGAAACCTGCCCAATAAGTTTCATTAAAATTGAAGTAAGGAGCCAGGCATGGTGGTTCATGTTTGTAATCCCAGTGGCTCAAGAGGCTGAGGCAGGAGAATTGCAAGCTCAAGATCAGCCTCAGAAACTGAGGCCATACAAAACTTGGTGAGACCCTGCCTCAAAGTAAAATATAAAAAGGGCTGGGGATGTGGCTCAGTGGTAAAGCACGGGGTGTTCAATCCCTGGTATAAAAACAAAAACAAAAAACAAAGAAACAAAAAAGGTATCAACAGGCTCAAAATTGTAACTTTGGTTTTACTCGAAGAGAATAACATAAATTTCTGCAGCCTAGGAATAGAGTGGGAAGGTAGAGGCTATGGAAATATTTGTTTATTGCCCAAGACATTGCCCAACACAAAAAAAAAATACTGTGCTATGTCTAGACACACACACACACACACACACACACACACACATCACATAGACATGGCACTGAACCAAACTGGTTCCTGCTGGCAATAAAAGATTATGGATCCCCCATGGGTTTATAATATGGAAAGTGACCAATGTCCCATGTATGATCCTGGACACAGTGAGCCTGGCTTTGCTACTCCCTTGCAACTGGATTCCAGGAATTTCAGAAAGCATAGGGAGGCAGGAGAGTCAAAGGCCTGAGCTGACTCGCTTCACACTTCACCCACACAGATTTTCATTTTTTGTTTTTCTGAGGATTAGGAAGAAAGGGACGGGGATTAGTTATAATTTACGGTCTCTGTCAAAAGCTAGCTCTGAGTAAAAGGGAAGGGAGCAAATGGATTATGAAAAGAAAACAAATGGAGAGAAAAAGAGAGCAAAGGATGAGCTGTATTCCGTAATATTTATTAATTTGATTTTAAATGGAAAAGAAGGGATCTGTTCCAATGGTTCATCTTCCTATGAACCCTAGAATCCCCCCCCCAACCCTGAAGAAATCCTTCTGCTGTGAGGTAGATCAGACTTGTTCTGTGTCTAATGTGAGAGACATTGTTGTGCCAAGAGCCATAGAGCAGGAAACAGGGACAAAACCCTAACCCTAACCCTCTTCTAGCCTGGTCACAGAACCTAGAGAATACCCATGGTTTTTCTGGGTCTGGGCAGCAGCAGGAATGGAGCTAGAGTGCTCTCTTTGCCCTGCACACACCACACACAAGTGAGCCAGGTGATACGCACCCTGTCATAGCCATGGGGCTGCTCTCAGGGCAGCTGGTGCAGGCAGCCTGGCAGCCTGGCTGCTGAGGTAGTAGTGGGATGAGGTTTAGAAAACTTCCCTCGGAGAGAGAGAAGATGGTGAAAACCCCCTTGGTTTAAGGAACCCCCTTCCCATTCCATAGCCCAGTCGGCAGGTTCTGGAAAGTAGTTCTACAGCTGGGGCACTCCTTAGGCCTCATTCTGAACAGAGACCAGAGACTTTCCAAAGGTTCTGCATCCACGGAATTGTTTCTTAAAACTCCTCAGGAAGCCCTGAAAAATGGAGATAACATATTTTGGGTAAAGGCTGACTGGGGGAATGGGGCACTGAAGGGAAGGGATAGCTCCCACAGGGACCCTGGAAAGCATATTTTATTACACACATGGGGGACCACTAAGTTACAAAAATCCCATCCCCCAATTGCAGCCCAGTCTTTGAAGGGGATGGGGCACAAATTTCTACTTACAGGTTCCTCCTGCGCTGTCCTTCATATTCGAAGTGCATTCTCACCTTCATAGCCTTCAAACCTTTGAGAGAAATCAACTGAGGACCAGGGGTTGACAGGGCCACTAGTTTTCCATGCAAGTCTGAGCCAGTGATAATGATGGCCAGAAATCTGGGCGCCCAAAGAACTGAGCTAGAAAACCAACAGGAGAGCCGACCACGGGGAGGAGAGGCCTGGGAACACAGCTATTCTTTTCTGTGGCAAATCCTAGAATGAAGAACCACCCACCACCTGCCTCTCTTTTGCTTCAGCCCTTGTGGTTGGATCCAGGAAAGGAAAGGACCTTGGTCCCCTTTGGGTTCCCTACTCTGTTCGCTCTTCTTTCAAGGCAGAGACCCTCCCGGAGACACCCATTTCCTTCTACCAAACCCTAAACTCAGAAATGAAGATGCCGTATACTTTCTGACTCTAAACTGCCTGTCCCTCGGCCCTGATTACCTACCTGTTGAGCGGTGAATGTGGCCTGGACTCCACGGGGCTGGCCCCGGCCGCTGGAGAGCTCAAGGGATGGCGGGCTGGGGAGGCAGTGGCCCGGGTCTCCTCTGGACGGCAGCCGCTGCAGCGGCACAGAAGACGGCGGAAAGCGCTGCGAAAGTCCGGACTACGACAATAGATCAGTGGGTTGAAGGCAGAGTTGGCATAGCCTAGCCAGTTAAGGGCGAGGAAAGCCGGGTCAGGAACTAGAGAGGGTCCCCCTAGGGCGCGCAACACGTTAGCCAGAAAGAAGGGCAACCAGCACAGAGTGAAGGTGCCCATGATGAGACCCAAGGTGCGCAGGGCCCGGTGCTCCCGGAGAGGCAGAAGCCGCGCGGGCCGCCGACCGCCGGAGGGCACTTGAGTCGAAGCGCACGTCCCCGAGGTGACAGGGTATCGAGAGTGCGACAGAGCCGACGGAGACTCCTCCGGCGGGAAGCGGCCCAGCTCCCGGCGCAGCAAGCGCAGTTGGCGCTTGGCCACCACGAAAACTCGTGCGTAGACGAAGAGCATCACCAGAAGCGGAAGGTAAAAGGAGACTGAGGAGGAGAGCAGCGCGTAGGGCATGTTGGAGGCGAAGGAACAGCAGAGCGGATTGGAGTGGCAACGCTGCGCCTCGGCGTCCGCCCCTACGCGCCACCACTGGCTCATGATCGGCGCAAAGGACACCGCGGCGGACACCACCCACACCAGGACCACGGCCGCTCCAGCACGGCGCTTGGTGACTAGTGCACTATAACGCAGTGGGTTGGTCACGGCCAGGTAGCGGTCCACAGCCAAGGCGCACAGGGTTTCGATGCTGGCGGTCACGCATAGCACGTCCACCGAGGTCCAGAGCTCGCAACCAGTCGCGCCCAAGGGCCAGTGGCCAGTCAGCGCCAAAGTAGCCCCTGGCGGCACTACCAGGAGTCCCACCACCAAGTCGGCTGCGGCCAACGAAGTGACGAACACGTTGGTCATGGTCTGGAGTCTCGGCGTCCGGGCGATGGCCACGATTACCAACAGGTTACCTCCCACAGTGGCCAGCGCCAACAGCGCCCCAGCCAATGCCGCAGCCCAAGGTACCCCTGGCAGCCCACTCGTGTTGGCGGTGTTGGGTACAAGGGTAGGGGCGTCTGGCCACAAGGCCAGAGAGCCGTTCCCCTGAGGCCACGGAGCCATCTCCGCGTCGCGAGTGGAGCAGGAGAGAGAGGGAGGGAGGGGCTCTCCCCGTCCCCTGGTTCAGGGGAGGGAGCAGCAGAACGTGGGAGCGACTCCCCCAGCCTGGGCCATCTTCCGTGGTTGACAGGGATGAGACCGGTCAGCCTCCCCCCACCACTACCACACCCCCACTCCCTTGAGAGCTCGGGGGTGGGGGGAGGTGTGGCCCTGCTTAAAGGGGCAGCGACCAATAGTTTCTAAGGGACAAAGTGGAGGGTGGAAGGGAAGACCTGCCACAGAGTGTCCATTATTGCCACAGGCCAGGAGCAACACTGGGAGAAAGTAAAAAAGAACCCTCCCACCTCCAACCTTTAAGGAGTCAGAGGAAAAGATGACTTTCCCAAGGCAAGCAAAATATCCAGAGTAGCCTGTCATCTACTTGGTTGCCTCCGCTAAAGTGTTTGTATCGTTTTTTGTGGTGCTGGGGATGGAACCCAGGGCTTCCTGCATGCAGGCCAATGCTCAGCCACTGAGCTATATCCTCAGCCCACCTAAGGTATTTTATTTTATTTTCAAAATTTATTTACTGTTTTGGTACTGGGAATTTAATCC